GACCTATTAACCTTTATTAGGGTGTTGAGTTAACCCCTTTACTCTTTGAGTTAACCGTCTTCCTCTGACGCTAAGCTACGGCAGCCCCGCAGCAGTGTGCCACCGCAACGAGTGTGTTTCAAGTGTGGAGATCGCACGCACTCCGTTTTCCACTGTCCTCAGATTAAGGACTACGAGAAGACGAAGCAGCTGTTTGAGAAGAAGACCCATAAAAAGGCTCGGCCTGCTAAATCAGTTGGGCTCGCTCACCTGACTATTCCAGCTGAGACGGACTCCAAGCGGACGCTCCTTTTTTTTTGCCGCGTCATGGATTGTGTGGACACGTACATCAAACCCGACAGTGGTGCTGAAGTCAGTCACATTGCTCCTGAGCTTGTGGATAAACTGCAGCAACAGCGGGTATGGCTACCACGCCGGTCGCTGGCATCTACACAGGTAGTCCGGGGTGTCGGACCGACGGTGATCGCCATTCAGGAAGAAACAAGTCTCTGTTTGCGGTCCGAGACGCCAGGCGGGCCTTTTATCCTGCGGAATGTGGTTTGTTTACTTTCTCCGGTACCGCTTCCGACGGGGGTTGGTGACATTTTGCTCTCAGATGCGGTAATGGAAAGACTGGGATACGATCCTTACAAACTCATCGAGTCGGCCGAGTCAGTTCAGTCGGAGTATGATCTCGGGGATATTAGCCTAACTTCTACCAAGTCTGGGGTTTTCGCATTTGACGTTCACAAGGTTGAACTGACGCCAGAAGAACAAGGCCTGACCGAAGCAGAAGACTTAGTGTGTTTCCCCGTATCAAGTGGTGACCCACCTGCGGTTGCCCAGGCGATGGCTGCAATCGCTGACGGTATCGCCGCTGCCGAAGCGAATGGCGCACCGATAAGTTTTCTTCACGAAGTAGAAGAATTGCTCACAGCAAAGCTCGATGTGTTCCGCATGGCGCTCGGTGACGACCCTCCTGTGGATATGCCTCCTATGCGCATTAAGCTCAAACCTGGTGCGACACCGGCACGCTGTCGCGCGCGACGTTACTCGATCGCACACCGAAACTTTCTGGTCAAGCATATCAAATTGCTCTTGGATGCAGGACTGTGTTATCGGAACCCTACCAGCGAGTGGTGCTCGCCGCCCCAGGTTGTGCCTAAAGGTGAGGACCATCGGATGACGGTGGACGTCCGAGAGCCAAACAAGCGCGTGGTGCCGGTGGTTTGGCCAATGCCCATTCTCGAAGTCGAGTTTGATCGTTTGCGAGGCATGCGATTTTACTTTTCTCTGGATTTCTTTAAGGGTTTCTGGCAATTCGCGGTGGCGGAGGACTGCCAGGAAATTTATTCCATCCTGACAGAGGACGGTGTTATTACTCCTACCCGTGTGCTGATGGGCGGAACTAATAGTGTGGCGTATGTTCAATCAACTGTTCAAGCGATGTTCGGTGATCTTTTTAACAACGGTCTCCTCATCTGGATTGATGATTTACTCGGGTATGCCGATTCTCCAGAGGAGTTGCTCCGGATTCTCCGTCGAGTTCTCACTATTTGCGAAGAGAAGGGGTTAAAACTTAACCCGAAGAAGTGCAAGTTCTTCATGTGAGAGGCGTTGTGGTGTGGTCGTGTCGTCTCGGCGGACGGAGTTCGTCACGATCCCGCACGGATTACCGTATTGCGCCAAATGCCGGCTCCTTCCACTAGTCAGGAACTGCAGCAATTCATTTGCGCGCTAAACTGGATGCGGTCGTCGCTACCCGCATTCAACAAGATGGTCAGTCCTTTGACATTTTTCATGGAGACGATTTACGCATCTGCTGGAAGCCGCAAGAAGTCACAAGTTCGTCGAGTTGTTTTGCAGGACGCTGGGTGGTCTGACGTTGAAGCCACCGCGCTACAACAATGCAAAGATGCGCTGACGCTAGCTCATCCCGACCCAGTCAAACGTCTGTGTGTTTTCACGGACGCGAGCGATGAACATTGGGGGGCGGCCATCACCCAAGTCCCGTATGACCAGGTAAAGAGAGATTTTGAGAACTAAAACCATGAACCGCTCATGATCCTCAGTAGTACATTTTCCGGTGGTGCCAAAAGCTGGGCGATTGTGGAAAAAGAAGCGTTCGCTATTGTGGAGACGTGCAAACGGCGGACTATCTCGTTCGTCGGTCAGATGGGTTCAGTCTTTTTACGGACCATCGCAACTTGCGTTACATTTTCGAGCCGACGACGGTGTCCTCTGCTGTGCCAAAGTACACTGCGGACAAGCTTCATCGCTGGTCACACTTACTCATGCCGTTGGCTTACGAGATACATCATATTACTGGCGATGCTAATGTCTGGGCCGATCTGTTGTCTCGCTGGGGCTCTACTTTCACTAAAGTGGCTGCCATTCGTTTAGTTTCGCTTCCTCCGTCGCCCCAGCTGGATGACAATTTCGTCTGGCCCACTTTGGACCACGTTCGTAGCGCACAAGCGCTTACGGCAGCGCCGGACGCAACGGAGGTAGGAGAAGACAGCATTGTTCGGGATGCCCATGGAAAAATCTGGCTGCCTGATGTGGCTAATGCTCTACATCTCCGTATTGTCATTTCAAGTCAAATTTACAATTTTTTGGGCGATTGTCTAAATTCAACACAAATCAACAGACTGACCTAATTGGTCAAAATATTTTTTTATCACCGCTTCCAGAGCGGGCGGCGGCGGCAAGTTGCCGCTGCCTCTCGCACAGGTTTGTGTGCGCAGCTTGCAGATCCTAAGGCAATATAACGTACTCCAGCTTGTGTGTGCTACAATTTTTTCGCTAGACACTTGCTGTCCTTCAGCAACACGATGGAAGAAGCCGTGACTCGACAGCATGCTCATCCGAATACAGTGTTTCACTGTCTTTACGGGTTTTATTGCCTTGGATACTCGCGTGCGCAGCTTGCACACATCTACCATAAGACAGTGAAAACTATTGGCAACTGGATTCACGTCTACGAGCGGACTGGGACGTACCAGCCGGTCGACTCCAGAGCGACAAGAAAATTTACGGTGGCTCATAGGAAATGGTTGTGTGACTTCTACGCTGAACACCCATTAGCTTACTTGGATGAAGCTCGAGACGCTTTTGTTCGCGCGTATCAAGTGAGCATCTCAGTTTCGACCGTGTGGCAAATTATTCACGATGGTGGACTTACCCGAAAGGTTCTAGAGAGGCGAGCTATGCATATCAAATAACAGGATGTATTCCGGTTTGTTGACGAGCTCAGCCATATTAACTGGTTCCACAGCAACATTATCTTTCTGGACGAAGTATCGTTTGATAACCGTGGAATGATTCGGAAGCAAGGCTATTCGTTAAGAGGTCAGAAAGTTGCGATTCGAGGTGATTTTCAGCGCAAACCACGAGTCTCAATACTAGCATTTTTGGGAGTGACCGGCATCATAGATTACTACAACACGGAAGGCACATTTGATCGTGTTCAGTTCTTTCAATGCTGCCGCGACTTTGCGTACTCGGCGCGTGGACACGTACGTCAGTATCCTGGCTCCAACTCCGTTTGGATTTTGGACGGCGCATCCATTCATCGAGATCCCGAAATCATTCACTTCTTACGCAGCGCTGGAATCATTCCTATATTTCTTCCAGCTTACCGCCCATTTTTCAATCCCATTGAGTTTATGTTTGGATTCATAAAGCGGTCGTTTCAGCGGCATTATAGCGAGTCAAGCAGCAACGATTTACTCCCATTTGTGGTTGAAACTTTCGAGCGTCATGTGGGATTTGATATGACAAAAGTGTTTCAGCATTGTGGGTGGAAGTCTCAGTGCTACTTCGACCCCACAGGGCCGCTGTCAAGAGAGCCACAACAGAGCGCAAGAACCGATCACAGTGAAACTCGGCAGAACGAGGAAACTGAAATCCTCGGTTTCACGACGAGAGAAGTTGAGGAATTATAACGAGACTAAATGAAAAAAACGCATCTTCCCTTTGCGCTCTACTCTTGATGTTCTGTGTCTTCAATGTTCTGCATCGTTGGAAGCGGGTCGCGCACTTCAGCAGCAGATGGTAACGGAACATCAGCGAAATATCCCTCAAGAGTTTCTTTTCGCGCCTCTAATGGCCGCTTGTGGCATTCAAGTCGGCGTCCAAATGCTTCCCAGTCTCTCGTAAGCTCGGCGTTATCAGCAAGCGCAAAGTTCACCGTGTCAAGTGCTACATGAGTCGATCTGGTGAGACGCGTCAAATGCTCGTAAACTAGTCCATCCGACGGGCCTAGATAGCGCTCCAATCAGGTTGGTGGGGCGTCGAAGACAGCTCTTGCCCAGGTCGAACGATCCAGATTGCGCATAATGTCATTCGCCCACATTCTCCAAGTTACTGCGCTCGCTTGGTACGTATTTCCCCAGATTTCTTGAAGCTGCTCTATCATATCGCGCATAGCATTTTCTGCAGCAGCTCCGGATCGATCAGTATTCTGTGGTCGAATGCAAACCTGCGAAAACTCCTCTAAAAGACGTGCGTTGGAGACCGCCTGACCGTATTCGTAGATCGACAGTGTCACCGGATTGTTTTTCTGATCAACGATCCACTTATTCCGAAGCTCTGGCGTCTTCGTTGCTGAAGCGATTCGGCTTTTGGATTTAAGCTGCATGACACTGCTCCATGAAGCTTCCGTTGGCGTCTCAAGTGACCAAGTGGCATCTGTTTTCACAGCGTGCCTCTTGATGTTACCACTAAACTTCTCCCATAGCTTGTGCATTATGGCAGCGAACGATGCACCACTTGCAGGAAAAATCTCGAGATGTCTGCCCGTAGCATCCCGCTGCCCAACAGTAGACTTGACAATAGGTTCCACAACCAAGCGCAAGAAGTGCTGATCACCTTCATCAGGTGAATCGTCGATGGAGACACGCGGTCGGTGGCCTCTGGAAGCTTGTGGAGTTAAAGCTGTTTGTGGAGGTGTGCGCACCCGCAATGGATACGGAGAAACCCGCGCCGATGATGATGAAGATGAGGGTGGCGTCCTTCGTGCAGGGCGTGAACGGGTTGATGATGAACGTGTGGGGAGTTGATGGGTTGATGGTGATAGTGGAGACTCTGTAGCTCCAGCGCCTTGAATATATGGAGGGGCTGGACTTGCTGCAGCAGAGCTCCCTCCATCCGTGGCTGCAGCCATCCTCTCCCAGCAGAAGTCGAACTGGTGCAAGAGCGACAAATGTGCCTATCTATCAGCATATAATATGCTAGTGCAAAGGTTGCGCGATTGCTGGGCGATTGACTCGAAGAACCGCGCACGGAAATTTTAAGTCGAACGCACAATATCTGTCTCGTTGGACATTTCGGTGCTGCTGGCCATCGCACTATGAAGGCGACATTACAGGCGATAGCGGACAAGTTCACGTGGACGGATTTAACAGCGGATGTTTCGAGATTTGTCGGTCGGTGTCTTCATTGTGCGAGTGTCACCGGTGGCCCACCGATGCCTCGTCCTCTCGGTGAAGCCTTGCATGCAGAAAAACCAAACGAGCTGATTCATTGGGATTTTCTTACGATGGGACCTGCAACTACTGGTGACGCGTATGTGCTTGTCATTAAAGACGACGCGTCCCATTACGTGTGGCTTACTCCGACTAGAGCGGCCACGGCAGATCTGACGTTTGAGTCGCTCATAGAGTGGTTTGCTGCTTTTGGGGTATGTCCTGCATGGGTCTCAGACCAAGGCACACACTTCAAGAATGCAGTAATTGCGGATTTGGAACGAGCGTTGGGAACACACCACCATTTTACCACCGCACGATGCCCATGGGCTAATGGGACGGTGAAAGTGGTAATGCGCGAGGTGCTGCGGTCTGTTCGGGCGCTGTTGTGTGAGTGGCGGTTACCTGAGACAGACTGGCCCAAAGTAATTAAAATCGTGCAGTTGGTGCTTAATCAATCAGTTTCCGATTCGCTTGGAGGAGTGGCGCCGATCACGGCGATGACAGGTTTGCCCGCCATGAATCCGCTGGACCCTGTGGTGACTCCTGAAGGCATGGAAGCGGCCAGTCTGGACGAGGTCAGGGCAATTCGTGGAGCTAATTTCGCTAAATTGGCTAAGGTTCTCGAAGAACTACACAAGCGAGTGGCAATTGGACGAAGTGCAGCGCAACGAAGGGGCGAGCGAAAGCGCTCAAACGCGGTGCCAAGATGGCGCAATTTGAAATTGGGGACTTTGTTCTGTATGCGGATGTTTGGAGTCATCGTCGCTCGAAGCTTCGGGTGAAGTGGTGCGACCCCGCTCGAGTTGTTGACACGTCGTCGAACTGGGTGTTCACAGTGGAGAACTTACTAACTGGAGAAACAAAGGAAGCTCATGCGACCCGGCTCAAGTTCTACGCGGATTCTTCGCTGGGGATCGCAGAGGATCTTCTCGCTCACGTCGCGCACAACAATGAAGGACATGTTGTGGAGAAGCTACTGGAAGCTCGCTACGACGCGACTAGCGCGATGAATCAGCTTTTGGTCAAGTGGCGTGGGTTATGTGAGCTTGAGAACACATGGGAGCCCGTGCAGAACCTGCTGGAAGATGTGCCAGCGCTCGTCAAGAGATTTGCCGCGCAAAACAAAAAAGACCCGGCAGTCAAGTCAATGGCCTCAGCTCATGGCATTGCCTAACCGGGTTAAGTCGTTTTCATCGAAGGGGGAAGTGTTACCCGCTCCGGGTTTCGTTGCACAGATAACGGATTTTTCTGGTAGAAGTACGCTGAACGGAAGTAGACAAGAACATTAGGACGATCAACTCTCCTGGGTGCTCTTCTAGCCCCTCTACTTACTAGCTTTTAACCTCAGTGTAATGCTTCACTTCACAATTTTCCTACTAGTGTTCAAGTCGATTAGGGAACAACTTTCTTAGCTTCAGTGCTCATTATCATCGAAGCTGTCAATTGCTTACCCACCTGGATGTTCGAGCCCCATGTCGTCTTCGAGACAAGCGTTTGCGCAGGCAGCTAGGAGAAGGAACTAAGCCAACTGGGATATTGGTCGAGGGGTCAACTAAAATCGAAGAAAGAGGTGTATTTTCTAAGATCAAGGAGAATTTCAGCAAATTTAAGGCCATCATCAACAAGATGAAACCGCACAACAGAGCTTTAACCAAGATGGAAAAATTGTTTGAACGAGGAGTGACGCCGGAAAATCTGGAGAATCGCTACGGCTCGACGAGAAAAGTTAAGCTCCAGGAGGAATTCAGGCAGTTCTATAAGTGGAGATCGAGCTGGCAGCAGCAGCGCCCTTATCCACTGCGCAAAAAGGATGGTCTGGCACTGAACAGTGCTGGGTAAGCTCGACGACACTAATGGATTGTTACCATTGTACAAGCCCCGTACTTAATAAAAGTCCTTAAAACCGAAAATGGGCAATATACGCATTTTTTACATAGCAAAACAAACTGGAATCCTCACATCCAACAGTGGAATCTAAACCCAGCTCTAGGCCTATATAGCTTATCGTATCTCCACAACCAAAAGAAAAGCAATATCCCCCTCTGACATAGAGCGATGGGATGGTTCAGCACACGAGGAGAAAGAGTGCACGGTTACCCATTCACCGGACGTTAAACCCGCAAAAGGACAGTTTAAAATGAACAGCCTGGTGGCGTCGCGAATCAACCATAACGACCACGAGATCAAATTAGGGAACGCATTGCCACGTGTGTTTAATAGAACAGGTCTACATCCGACCTAGGCGTATACAGAAGAAGGCGCAAAGGGCCAGTGTTGTAGTGTTGGGAATTGCACCGGTGTATCAGGAATCCGAAGTCATGCGGTGATATTTTAATGATTGTGCCACGTTTAGCCATTGCGTTTGGATCGTGAAACAATCTACAATCGTCCGATTATTGGTGGCTTCCATCGAGCAGGTGGCAACGTAAACAACTCCCATACTGGTCTGTTTACTCTGGTCGATTATATCACAGCACATTGTGGGTTAGCTTCAGAGATTTTTTTACGTCTCTGCCTTTTAATAAAGGCAGAGGTGACCATCGCTTCAGATACCAATTCTCCCTCATCGTGATCACCCATTGCAAGTGACTCGAGTCTAAACCAAAACATCTAGCACGCAGCTCGACAGTCAACACGATCAATGAGTCGTATGAGTAACACCTTCGACCAGAACTATCACACCTTGGGCTCCGTCGTGTTTGAAATTTCGAGGTTTCGGATACGCTCTGCCTCGAGGGTCAGGTGCCAACAACAATGTATATTCTGAAACACAACCCCGAGGACGTTTTCTGAGCTCGACGCAATCGCCAATTCTGGCGGTTCCTCCGAGACCATTAAGTAGCCAAGAAGGAGGGCAGGCAAGACCAGCCCAGGACAAATTCGAGCGTGCTGTGCGGGACAATGCACAACACTCCTCAAAAGCTCCAGGCTCGAGGAAAAGCAATCTGGCAAACGTCGATCTCAAAAAGCAGATTGTGATCCTGCAGAGTCTGAAGCCAAGCGCACACGCAAAAGTACTCCATGGCGTCGAGAGCAATGCCGCGAGTGTCAGGAGCGCTACAGACAGAAGCGAATCGCGTATGTGAATCAACTAGAGTGTGCTGTAGACGAATTGCGCCACCAGGTTCCATTGCTCGAGATTCAACATGCTCGGATGTGCTACTGTCCCGGCCTGACCGTGTGGTCCGTTGTAACGGAGTATTTCCACCTCTTTGAGCATGGTACGGACCCCATCGCATCCAGATCACAGAGTAGGTCCCTGAATCTTCAGACGCAACGACAAATGGTTTTCCTGCGATCAACGATGGCGAGAGACATCGTGCTGGGTGATCGGCGAGGTATTGACGCTCTACTAGAGCAGTGGAAATGGTATTCCAAATGCTTCGAAGATGTCCACCTTCAACTGTATCGCGTAACTAAGGCATCACCGTCACTCGTTTGGGTTTCGTCGGCATTGAGAGTGACGATCACGCGCATGACATTGGAGCATGTTTTCCCGCATCTAGTGGGTGATAGTGAGAAATTGTGGCGCTTTCGGTTAAGGATTATGGAAAAAAAAACTGGTTCCTATGCTCCCCTCTGTTTTGAGCTGAACTCTGAAACGATAAAGTCTTTTGCTAGTACCAACCGCTCCGTATCGAGGCATTCAAGCGCAAAGTTAACGTGTCCAACACGTCGTCAGTTGAACTACGCTTTTGGGTCTTTCATACAGCTCGAAATAGATACGACACGGAAAATAAGCTGGAGAGGCAGAAAGAAGCCTTGAGAAGAGTGCTCGTTCATGTTCTGTTGCTACTTCCAGTACCTTGTAAGTGGTGGGAATATCAATACCGTATGGTAGGCGAGATCGTTAAAAACGTACAATTTTAGTGTGCCCTATTCTATGTGTATATTTGGAGACTTTCCAGAAGTGTTCGGCGCAAAATTCAGTATGTATTGACATTTGAAGGGCTAAAATCAGATGAAGTTTCGCTGTTTACCTGGAAACGTAGACTTTACAGGCATGGCTAAAGTCCAATGATGCCCTCTAGAGTGATGAGAAGTTTCTGCATCACCAACGCTACATATTCGACACAGCCTAGCACATCCAGTAATGGTGTGAAGAAATCTACCATCGTTTCCAATCGAACTACACGTTTCGAGCTTTCATCCCACTCGAAGCAAACACGACACGGAAGAGCTAGCTGTTGACCCAGCAGTCTTGAGCGGAGTTCCAGTCTATAGTCTTGCTCAATTTCTATCAGTTGTGAGAGCACTTCCTCCAACGTTGTTTTAGTTATCGTCACGCTCAACGTTGCGCAAGCCCAAATAAAGTTGGGTGATGGATTGCTCACTTCTCCCTGATGTAGCTCTAAGTGGACGAAGTAAGTCGAGCATCGCTTCCATTGCTCTAGCAGTGCTTCCACCCCCCTCAGTTCGCCAAGTGTGACGTCGTTTGACATTGCCATTCGAAGAAACACTAGCTGCTGCTGAGATCTCGCTTTGAGATAGCAGGACGATGTTTCGTTCGAAAACTGGACGCCGTATCGAAAGAGTTGGAAATACTCGGTCACAACAGCCTCCAACGTCAGCTTGACGCCAAAAGCCATCCGCATGTGTTGCATCTGCAACAGTGGAACCTCTTGGCTGAGTCGTTTTACTACTTTCGCGAGGTCGTGTTCGCGTTGTGCTTTTTTCTTCCGATAACGTTCTTGGTCGACGCGACGTTGTTCTCGATGCTCTGCCGTGCCTTTGGCTCGGCGTTTGCGATGACGCTTTGGTGAACTCCGTTCGAGGCTGCTCTTAGTGGGAGCGGAAATATGTGAATTTTTACGTGGTTCCAGAGTCGGTTTTGGTTGATTGGTCTGGCCTTTATTTGCCAAGCCATCGGTATTGCGTGCTGCTGAACTCGTGTATGATGATATTTTGCCTGCATTCACGTGAACAAGGTCACGAGCACTTGGCGCTCGAGGGAGGACGCACCCGATGACATCGGAACTCAGAGCTTGCTGGATAGGGTGCGGCTCAAACTGCTCGAAGATGTGTAGCACGCGGGTCATGGCAGTTCACTGAAGTATATTGACGAAACGGGTCCTTCAATATTGAAACAACTCAGCAGAAGTGATCTCCAAGCGGGCAGTTTCGAAGTGAGGTACCGTAGTGGTCGACTATCTCGTGGCATCTCATTTTGTGATGTGTTGTCGCGTAAACGAACGAGAAGTGAGTGGTTTACGCGCACAATGCCTGGAGGAGTAAGAGTGGAGCATCTGGTTCACAAGCATTCATGGCACCCAAACACGAGCCGTTTACGCCGCTTCAGGTACATGACAGAAGTTTACGCGAGAGAAAAAGAACGAAACTAATGTCCTGATCACCATTACCAGAGGTGATGCTAATTACCAGTCAAATTGAAGGAAATCATTTTTCAAGTTGAATCGCCAAACTTTTTTCCATACGCTTTCAGTGGATGCATATATTACTTCAAGAAATGCTTTCCAGACTATTCTCTGGATTATATATCCAGAGTCCTGTGCGGATCCGAGCAACGTACCAATGCGCCCATAATTAAATCCCCTTTGAATCGGATCAGGTACAAGTTAAATTTGCTTTTTAAAAAACTCTTTGCTTATATATCCTATAAATATTTATAAAATTTATGCTTGTTGACCCATCCAGGTCTAGGGTTCGTTCAAGCAACACTTACTACAGATAGCACTGTAGATATTAAAATATAATCTGCTATCGGGCTCATTCGAGCAACATGCAGTAAAAGTTACATTGTCGAAAACCGCGTGAAATCTTGTCGAGAATTTGAAGCTCTTCCAGCGAAATTTCAATCTTTTTTTCGAGTTTTATCGTGAAAAGATCACCAAATTCTCTCTCCGGCGATAAATGTCTCTATTTTGCATTGTGATAGCCCAAGCAGTAGTTTTAGCAACGGACGTAATGAGCTACATATTGCAACAAATTATCAACCAACTAGCTTGCTGGATAGTTCTCGAGCAGAAAGAGTGCGAGCAAATACATATTAACTGAGGTTTACTTCATTTTCCTACGTCGATGTATCCATGAAATAGAAAAGCGCCAATAAAATCGAGAGCTTCTCCGGGGGCCAGCACGACTTTGTTTTTAACTTAGTTTTGTTTTTTACATGTCTGGACATGGTGGCATCGATGAGCCTCTCGATACTGATATTCTTAACAGTCACTCCTCCAGATAAGGTTGTTGAGTTGGTCACCGATTGGCGGTTTGATAAACTAATGTTACCGTATGTATACTTCCTTGAGAAACTTCGGGAACGACACTGTTTTACAGTAACACAAGTCTGGGGTAGCAGTGTATCCAAGCCTCCTGGCAGTTAATGACAGTGTCATGAAATCCACCTTTGACTCCAATTGTGTCACGTATTTCGAGCGTCCATCCCACCCGAAATAGAGGTGGCAGGGAAGCACCAGCCTTCAGCCCCAGAAGTACTGATCGAATCCGTGTGACATTGTCTTTACTAGATACGGGAAGACGTGATCCAACGTCATATCTGTTGTAGTCGCTGCTACAGACAACCACGGAAAAATACGCTATCACTGACCACCGTTTCCATAGTAAACCGGGGGCTACTTAAAAATACGCCATCCGGCCAAAACTATCTTGAAAACGCATAAACGAAACATAAATTGAAAAACCAGACCGCACTTTTGCAAAGAATGACAAGCTACCTCGCCTCGTCTTCAAAACGTAAAACTCAGTTTCTCTAAGAAAAACAGAATTGAAATAACTTTTTTTAACAACTGCTTCGAATTCACATGGTATAGCTTTTTCAAAGCCGTGGTCTCAGACATGCTCTCCCACGCCATAATTGTTCGCTTAATAATATCTAGGCGTTTCGCGAGGGCTTTTTGGGGGCTTGGACCTTTTTGGTTTGTCCACGTGCTTCCTATCGCCGACTTGAACGGCCTGTAGAGACAGATAGGCACATCATAACGTCAGCTAACGCATCGCACACGACTAGCAAGGTCTCGTACGTGATCAGCAGATTACGTACGACAGTAGGAAGTACGGGACAAGGATGAGATCACTGGACCTCACTATATTACATACATTAGGAAGCACGAGATAAGCTGAAACCACTGTTTTTTTTTTTTTTTTGGCACAGGCTGCAGTGGATATATTGAATACCAGAATTTATTTTAACTCCAAGATGTCGCGAGATCAGCCGGTCAAAGGAAATCGGCATCATCGGCCACTATATGTGGTTCAAATCTCGCAAAAATCCTCAACGTGTGGAAAAACCTATTGAACTTGCAGTTTGAAACAGCAACCAACTGGATCGGCAGGAGCCTGAGACCACAAGACTGCCACATATGCATACTGTACATCTAGCCGCTCAAGTAGTCCATAGGAGTACGATGTAGTGGCTAAAACAACAATCAGTTCTCAATTTTCCAACAACGCAGCAAGTACAACACTGCAAAGTTGAACGTCGACGGTCCTCATTCGCCCGAGTCCTTCAGTGCTAAGCTTCCTAAGTGCTACCATCCAATATAGCTACCCTCTATTGCGACACAAGATAACGAGTCGGATTCTCAAACAACGCATTTAGGGTCGAAAGACACTACAAAGTTAACTTTAGCTGTGGACACCGATCCAAGCGCTGGGCCCCATGAGTCGGCCCCAGCAGAAACGAAGCCCAGTGAACACGACGCGATCAGCAGATAGCGGACGACAGTAGGAAGTACGGGACAGGGATGAGATCACTTGACCTCACAATATTACATACATTAGGAAGCACGAGATAAGCTGAAACCACTGTGGCAGAGGCTGCAGTGGATACATTGAGTAGCAGAATTCATTTTAACTCCAAGATAACGAGTCGGATTCTCAAGCAACGCATTTAGGGTCGAAAGACACTACACGGCCCCATAATTCTAACATCGAGGGGTTGGCACG